CAGGTGAGAAGAAGAACTAAACTTTATTCAGAGAATAGATATCCTAAGAGATTTGTTATGAACTATAGAAAAGAATGGATCGAGAGAAATAAACACCCAACTGTGAAAAAGACTAAGGTTTTTATACACTTTACATTCAAAGGAGATGCAATATCCAAGAGAATATACACCAGTATGAAAAGACTACTGAGAAGGAGCTTTCCAGTAGCTAAACTTGTATTAGTATACAATATTGCAAACTCGCTGAACCAGTCAAAACTAGATAATTGCCTTGTTCATATCACCTTCAACTGTATCTATAAATTCATAAACACTTTCGGTAGCAAGTACATTGGGAGGATTGAGAAGAGAACATCTATTCGGTTTCGCTGAACATATCTCCAAGAATCTAGGCCTGCAATTACCAGACACTTCATAGATATATAACAGGTTGAGATTTCGAGTACTTTTAAAATAATAAACGTGCGAAAAATGTCTAGATTATTGCATTTCGTGGAAGTGATTGTAATAAAACGCTTTCAACTTGACTTATTTCACTTTAGATAACATGGAACTGAAGAGTATGCATGAAATAAAATGATATTCCGAAAATTTCGTCCTTCCTGCTTCATCCAAATTATTTATCATCAAGACGACTTCAAGAATCACATTAATAACACATTTATGAGTAAAAGTAACCTTTTTTTATGTTGTTAACTAGTATGTATTCAATCAAAACGTTATACAATTCAATAATCATCGATAAGTTTATGCGCTAAACTACAAATCAGATCTATTAAGTATAGACTGGACAAACAACGATGGATAAAATAGTATTAGTTTCTTACAGAGACCCACTTGTTAACCCTTCTTTCCCTTTTTGTTCTTATCCAATAGAGTTTAACTACAGTTAACTCATGATCATCAAGGTCAATACAGGACCAAGCATAACTGTGTAACTGTCCAAGTTGTCACATCTCATATCATCCATTAAGTAGCAAGGCAATAAAATGAAAGATGAAGAAGGAAAGAAAAATTGATCAAAAGAAGTAGAAAGTAGTAAAAGAGAGGAAAGAGGGATAAGAAAATGGTAGTACTAAGACGAGGATAATTTGTGGATACCTCTGAGTCACTGGCATCGATTCTGAGCAATATCACCTACAGTCTCCAACAACTGGTTTTCGCTATCACGTAAACTACAACCAACTAGTTTGCACATCCCAAAATCCCTTACATTAACAGTTAACTATTTCATCTGATGATGACATACTTCAGTCTACCCGCTCTGAGCCATTTTTCAGCCTGAACCTACTTCGGACAACATTGTATGACGAGGTAGATGGTGGATAGGCATGCGTAACATACGTCTCATCCATTTCAGTCGATGAAGGTCCACAACAGCATCAACTGACTTACCTCCCCTCTCTTAAACTCTACGCCTGACTTCTCTTTTACTCACGTAGTGACACCATGAAACGCACCCTATGCTACGAAGGCAGTCGTAGTCAAACACCTGAAACCGTTTCACAGCCATACAACAAAACAGAGTGGACTGCACCACAATGAACTCGACTCTTAATGGACAATCAGTTACCGCGGCGGCGCCATAGATGGCGTAAGTCAACGAAGGCTAACCGAGTCCTTTTTTATCTTTGCATAGATATCGTCGGTCACTAACCCAGTACGGCTGATCACACTTCCCAGATAAGTGAAGTGGTCAACGCGCTCAACCACCTCACTCTCTATTGTTAGCCAAGGCACAGTTGAAGACCACTTCTGGAGCAATAATTTGCACTTCGGTGGCGAGAAACGTATCCGAAACATTCCCAAATTCCTACTCAATGTGTTTAGAAGACTCTGCGTCATGTCAGTGTCTTCACCCAACAGCACTATGTCATCTACGTATTCTAGGTCTACGAAAAATTCTCCTGTGACTAGGTCAATCCATGTGTAGTAGGAGATGACGAGACGGGGATATCCATCAGAAAGTCTATTATAAAATTAAACATGGTTTTTTTCTAAATTGGATAGCTCACTGATAAAGTAAGCATATAACAATAATGTTGAAAAAATAAGATTTCAAATATCATAAAGAGTCATGATAGTGCGAAGTACTATTCCTTTAGACCTGGTCAAAGTTTGCGACAAGGAATAATGAAAATCCGTACAAGCTCCGCCAACAATTCAATCCCAAACACAGTAGATGATTATATTGAATCAGTTGATTCCCTTTCAAAAAAGTCAAGAAATCTTCATTTACTTACGTCAAGTAGAAGATGAATTCAGTTTGACTATCTTGAAAACACTTTATCAACCCCCCTCATAGTCTATCCAATTTCGTTTCTTGAATTTCATACTATATGATTTACCTCCACCTAAGAGAGATATACCACATTCAAAATAACTAACTTATGTAGGCATTTGCAGCAAGTTTTTGGCTGAGTTCTGTTTCTACAATCACTGAGTTTTTTCATCTTTCATACTGTGCGTACTCTTTTTTTCTCTCTGGGAGGTAATCAAAAACTCTGGAAGATGATTCAACAACGATACTGAATGGTTGTGATGAGTAACAAAAGTTGAAAAGTGCAGATTACTGGATCAATTAAAAACCCTATGTTCACTGTACAGAAATCTAAAATAATTACCATATCTAGTACTCCTATGAATGATATCAGTTAGTGATGAATAGGTTCTTGTCTACCTTAGTCATTCTCACCTCAGATTTTTCACCAGCCAAAACTAGCCTTCTAAGAGGTTAAAATGACACAAAATTATCCTAGAGGTGAAAACTCCAGCAAAAGTTGGACTTGATCAGTACCAAATTATACAATATGCTATGCTTCAAAGAACTGATGAAAGAGTTAGGAGATGTAATGCACATGTACTCATATATTTCAAAGCTGTTAGGACTTTTTAACAGAGTGGCAATTCATAAAATCATTGATTAGTGGTTTGAGTTGTGCAGTGAATTCTAAGTTCGTGGACAGCTAAGACGAAATGACCATTCACACTGTTAGTTCATCAGTGTTGTTGGTTAGGCGTCTAGTCTTTCGTGTTTAGCACGGACTAAAGTTTACAGGTCAAGTAGCCACCAGGTAAAGCAATACTGTGGTCCACTATATTTGGGTGTTAAGTAACCCAAACAGTTTAGTGGTTACGTTATGGACATCAATCATGAGTGATACAGAATCGAATCATCCGGGGAAAACTAGTCTCCTTATGGTTGCACATACGCCTTAGTGATGAATGTCAACAAGCACAAAACTTGGGTGTAGAGCTCCTACAACACCAAGAGTGCTGTTCTCTCGCACACAATACCAAGCCCAAGTTTGGTCATCATCAAATGACAACGCATAACCAAACTATAGATGACACTGGCTCAGAATAGTTCACAGTGGTAAGGATATATTCACACCATGCCCTAAAATAAATCATAATATCACATATATTCATTTTGTCAGGGGTTTCAACAACTTTTGATATTATTTTCATATCCTTGTCCTCTCTGTTGTGCCATCTTCTGCTTTAACATGAGTTGTCCCAACTGAGACCGGTGTACAGTAAGGCGAAGTAGTATGACAGACAAAACCAATGCGGAACCTTGGACACAAATGCATCGGGTCACATTGTCACACTTCACAGTAGTACACAAAGAACAAAGTGGGTAGAAAAAGTGATATCAAAGAAGACAAAGGAGTGTGAGAGAATAAACAATTTGATGGCAAAGCTTAGTGCGAATATAGTGCGCCATGTCACCAAGATTTCTCAAACACTGACTCCTATTGTCTTGTGGACCCCAACCAGGTAGTCTATATCACACCACACGACTCACACCAACAGTCACAGACTGGTATCAGGTCTCAGTTTGGTCACCCTGAACTTCCTTCCAAACCAACTTTCTTTAGCATTAAGCGTCGAGGTAGGAGGTGGATCAGCATTCACAACATATGTCTAAACCAACTCATTCGATAGTTCAAAACTTCATCGACTGACTTGCCTTTCTTACCTAATACCCTTCGCCTAACCTCAACATTGCTTACACGGTGATTCCACCGAACGCCAGCAACGCTACGAAGACATGTGATATAAAGCCAGTAACCGCTTCATGTCTTCTACTTTCAACAGTCATTTGTCACAGCCAACCGTACGACAGGACAGAACGGACTGCAGAGCAGTATACTCATCCTTTGCTAGACAGTCGGATATCTCACCGGTGCCACAAATGACGGAAATTAGCAAATGCCAAACGAACTTTCTGTATCCAAGTTATCAGCAACCAGTCCATTCGGGTTGATGCAACTCCTCAACTAAGTGAAGTGGTCGACACATCCTATCACTTTGTCAAGCTGTATACTGATAATATCCCTTCTCTCTTCAATAGAATTAGAGTCTAGATAGTAAATACCATTAAAATATATTCCCTGGTTGTAGATGGGCAGTCAGTAGATAGTCTTTTATCATTAGCTTCAATAGACCAAGACGATATACCTGAATTATTCATTATTACATAGAAAGTAAGTCAAAAGTTTATTGTATTCTAATACTCCATTTCAACACAGGTACCTTCAAGAAAATACAACAATATCAACCATAGTAAGTTACTGTACAAAGTATTTTTTTTCTTTTTACAAAGGTCATGTAATACCAAAACATACAATCAACCATTAACATAAAAAATTATTTTTATTTAGAAAAATGTGAACGGCGAAGTAAATGGATAGACAAAGCCTAGACAAATATAGTAAGTATATTCTCCACCCGTTTCGTATACTTACTTCGCCCTTCACTATTACGTAACTCTTATTTTGATCCATTTTGATCATAAAAAAATATCACCATTCATAAAAAAAAAGAGATAGAATACAAAGGATAAAAAATTTCAGCAAATAAACATATACACAAAGAATAATATTCTTATACCTTGATACACTTTCATATACCCACATACACGTGAATCCATACACCATTTTAACAAAAAACGGTTATACACGCATTACAATAACTGTTATGAATATCATTAATTAAAGTTCCCTGTGTAATGGAGTGATTCGAGGCTTTTTTACATGTTTTTGACGTTTAGCAGCTAATTTCGACGCTTTTCGAGCTTCATCAGCTTCTAGTTTCTCTTTAATCATTTTCTAGATAGTATATAGGAAAATAAAAAGTAGCGAAAACAAGTTAATGATGATGATGGAAAAAATTAGTAGAGATATAAAATACAATTTGAAGTTATTATAACATGAAGAGTTAGAATGAATAGCGAGACGATTACTTCATTCAAACAGGAAGCTGCATATGTCCCCCAATGAGTTGGTTACCGATGAAATCTCAGCTCGGATTGGCATGCCTACACTACTGATAGTATCGGTAAGATATCCAGTTACCTATTAAACGATGAGTATACTATTTAACAGTCGGTTGAACTAGTGTATGCTAGTAAGGTATAACCCTTGAAAGTGGACGATATGAAGAGGTTATAAGTTTCTGAACGTAAGTTTCTTCGTAGAATAGGTTACGCATAGTCGAATCACTATATGAGCAGTATAGAGGTTAGGCAGAGGTCACTAGGCTTGAAATATGTTGCACATACCAAGCTAATGTCTTGCTTCAACGTGCAATGCCAACCGAACTAAGGTTTAAATTAGGAGAACGTTAAAGGTGATCACATTAAGACGTGGCAGCAGTTGCTGAAGTCTTTGAGTGTTTGCTTTCAACCATGTAGTCTCTAGGTGGAGACCTTGAGATAGTCGAAATCAGCGTCTGAAGACTCTTCATGATACGCCTTGAAATCGATCGTAGTAGCGCAAATTTACATACATCTTCGAAATCTTGAATAGTTTCATGAGTGTCAATCTATTTATTCGATTCCTTCTCACATACCTTCAGTGCTAATCAATTTTTGTCCACTTCTGTGTCACGTTATATATGGACTTATCTGTCTCTTAATAGGAGTATACTCTGTCAGTTCAGCGCTTATCAATGATTGACTATAACACAGTGTAATGCATGTAGGTAACTCAGTTTAGTTACCGTTGACAGCGGACACCTGCTGAAAACATTGAAGAAATACTCTGCCACATATCATGACTTCTCTAAAAGGTGAAAATGATAATCTTTTCATTTTAATCTTCCCTTTGATGAGGTGTTAGATTTATTCACAAAATATGTACTACGATGCTCCATAGTGATAAGTGTTTGATAGAAAATGAAACTCTGCGGCTTTAGTATTTCTAAATAATAATATTTCGTAGCTAGTTCATAGTTATCCATTTCAAAGAAGTTTGAGTGACGCATTGAAATCCGTTACAGAACTATTGATGACATCAGATCACTAGGCAGTTATTTCAGCCTACTTCCAGCGTCTCAGTAAGGGCACATTCACGATCCAGTCAGTGATCATCCCCATGAGACAAATGTTCAGTGTTCATAGGTTTATAAAGATTCCCTAACTAATGCTTGGTCATTATGAAAGCTACTTTGGAAACAATTATTCTTTACGAACTATCAACTTAATTATTGCCCAGTGGTCATTATAGTGACTTGTTACAAGATGGATTCCTCGAAGTTTTAATGAGAAGCTATGACTGGTCAGGTGAACCAAGTTGGGTATGATGATGATGATGAAGACTTGTCAATAACATTTAATGCTTGCGCTAAGCCAGGAACCTCTGGATCCCAACCCAGGGGCTTCATTGTAGGTAATGTGCTCTCCATGGAACCTGACGGTCCTGGAATCCATGTCTCAAAGAGTCGTGGGTGTGCAGCGCAGAGTAGCTGTAAACCACGACAAAACAGCTGCATGATGCTTCTAGGTTGTTAATGATTTCCCAACTCAGTGATTGAAAGTATTCTGAAACCAATAAATCCTGAAAAAAAACACAAATCGAACGAGTTACGAACTTGTTCATGAGCGTAAAAGTTTGATGAAGAGTAGATGTCTCAAGACACGTTTTGAAGAGACTGACAAAATCAATGAAGAAGCTCAAGCGCATATGCATCACTGTAAGTTGTCACACTTTACAGTAGTATACAAAGAACAAAGTAGATAGAAAAAGATTGATACCAAAGATGACAAAGGAATGTGACAGAATAAACAAACTGAAGATAATGGTTAATAAAAATATACAAGCTTTAGATGTCAAGGAGTGAATAGGTTTACTCTACTGTGGCCGATTTTCAGCCATAACACCGAGAGTCCTCGATCACTGATTCCTATGGTCCTGGGGGACTTCAATCAGCTAGTCTACATCTTCCCATATGGCTAAGACCAACAATACGAGACTTCATCGATTGGTTCCAGGTCATCTGGCCACCTTCAACCCTCTTCCAACCTAATCCAACTTCCTACAGTATGGCATCATTATCATTATCTATCAACATAGGACCAGGAATTACTGCGGACCTCAACCACCTAGTCTGCATCGCTCTACATGGCTCAAACCAACAGTCAGAGACTTCATACATTGGTGTCATGTTCTATCTGGCAGCCTCAGGCCTTTTACCAGCCTGAACCTAATTTGACCAACATTGTGTGACGAGGTAATCGGCGACTAGGCACACGTAACAGATTTCCCAACCATCTCAGTCGATGAAGGTTCACAACCGTGTCAAATGACTTACCTTTTCTCCCTAAAACTCTACGCCTGACTTCTATGTTACTCGCGTGATGACACCATGGAATACGACCACAATATTATTCATACGACAATTTCCCAAGACACGAGCAATGCTATGAAGGCATCTGTGATCAAAACCCCGTAATCGCTTTATTTCTTCTACTTTTAACGGCCACGTCTCATACCCATACAACAGGACAGAACGAAATGCAGTGCAATATGAAATATTCTTAAAAGAATCCAATTTAACTTCGCTTATTTCATGTGGTGAACAAAACTAGAGAGAAAAAGGGGAGAGGGAGAGAGGGAGAAATAACAACACATATCAACATAGTATTTACCTGACGTGAACTGAACTCATTAACATAATTTATATCCCTTGGGATAAAATTCAATTCTTGTTCAGTTAAATGTAAAACATTCTCATCTGATTTACTCATCAACTTCGATTCACGTAATAGATTGAATGACCATTTCAATAAGTTTGATACACTATTAATTTGACTATACTTAGAATGATATGCATCTGGAAAGCGTAGGATCAGATCACAGAGAACAGCGGTATTTTCAAATGTTAATGCAAAGGCTGTAGAAAAGAAGAATAGAAGCAAGTAATCCATTGATTTGACTTTTAGAAAAACATTATTATAGCACTTTTTCCAAAGAATATAATGTATCATTTCTAATATATATTTGACTAAAAGATGCCATTCCTGAACAAGTCGAGTAGTTAGAAACCAATTAGGCTGATCTGTAATATTTTGCCAAGCATCTAGATTAGAATGGACTGAACACCAGACAGCCATTTCGTCCGTTTCTAGCTGAGTTCGTCAGTCGAATCAGCTCAAATCATCTGACTAGCTGACTTGCAGGGAATTATTATTACTATTTTTCTCTTAGGTTGCTCCTAGTGGAACATAGGGCTTCAGTAGTACGTCTCCATTCCACTCTATTCTCTGCAGTCTCTTCAACCTGGCTCTACAACTGCCTAGAAGCTTTCATTTCCTCCTCACACAATCTCCTCCATGCCACTCTCACCTCGAACACTGAACTCGTCGTTTCCCATCCGGGTTCCACTCGACGGCCTCGCCTGGCCTGGCGCATGATGTCCCCAATCGGTCTTCTCAGTGTATGCTCAATCCAATCCATCTCCACTTTCTCCTGCATATTTTTTGGTTGATGGGTTGTCGATTGGTTCGTTGCCAGACCAGATTGAGTTCCTTGTTGCTTATTCCTATTATTCTGGCCATCAGATCTGATCTGATCTGATCTGATCTTCAGTATCGAGTGAGTGTAGGTGGCAGCTGTTGATGAATGTCTGCAGTTTATTTTGTTCTATTGTACAGTCATTAAACATTTTCGGTGAAAGTAGTAAACACGATTAAATGATTATAAGCATCTTTTTTTAAAATACTCTTCTCGAATGGGAAAAATATATGCCAACGATGTTAAGATAAGGTTTGCAATTTTACAATAAGAGTATATTGCGAATGAATACTGCCCTATGAAATTATCATAAAATATGTCTTGATTTATAGATGAAATAAATGACAATAATCACTACCAGTTACAATTTACCACTCAGTTGAAGAAGAGTGAAACGTGTTCCTATTTAGCCTGTCAAAAAAAACCTAGGGAATATTAACAAAGTCAATCAGACAGTGGTTCAGTATGCACAAATACCTTTCTTTGACAACTAACATACAGTGGAGGAACACTTAAGAACGGAATTGTAACACAGCCAAATAAGATGTCAACTAAAAAAATTCCTCACCAAGATGAAACCATGACTTCTGTATATTTGTTCAATATTTCTTCAACTACAATCTCTCAGTGACCCCAAAATAAACTAACATATAAATCATATCTAACAATAGGGATTATATTACATTTACACCTAATTTATCACCTTGTACTGACACAGAGAAGTTCAAATTAAGAAAATTCAGACATATCTACCATAGGATGGATATGATCACATAAATTAATCAATTCAAACCTGTAAACACGTAATAAGTAAGTTATATTTCCTAGTACCAATTTCATATCACTGAAGACGAAAGACTTGAGGTTATCAAATAGGCATGAACGAGTTTATGTACCCCATAAATCAATACAACCACGCCTAGTTAACTAGTTTATTAGTTACTAGCCGGTCCTCAGCCAGGATAAACACGGAAAGTTGGACATATGGCCGGCAACCATACCCCGACCCCGGAAAACCAATCCAATCGCTAAAGAAACTTCAAAGCAAAAAAAGATATAAAAATAAAATTATTCCTTGCTGGAATCGGGAGACGAAATGATGCCGGTTGGTGGAAGCCTTCGGAAAGCCAGTTGGTCGATGGATCCCCCCCTTCCCTAGATGAAACTAAAAGTAAACATGGGGACATGGAATCTCCGCACAATATTTCAACCTGGCTGCCTCGCTAGTAAGGCTGCCCAGATTCCCAAAGAGATGAGAAGGTATGGCATAGAAGTGCCAGGAATATGAAGATCGAATTCAAGTGGACTCTACAAACTGTCAACTAAACAGTCAATAATCTACTCCGATATTGTCATCCAGACGACAACCACAACCACACTGAGTTTTCCAGTGGCTATCATGATGCACCCAACACCATCGAAGGCTCTCTCTCATGCAGTGGCAACCAATCTCCCCATGCATGATCACCATCAAGACAGCAAGATGGATTCAACTCAAAAGGAAGCAGTCACAACTATGCAATGCTACACCACACACCTACAAATAATAAAGCAGATCAAGCAAAGAAGGAGGAATTCTATAGACAACTGCAATCAGTAATAGACAACACACCTCCCCAGTTGGCGATGGCGACATCAAAATTCTAATCGGCGGGGTGACATGAATACCAAACTGGGAGTGGACAACACACGAAGAGAAGCAATCACGGATGGAGGAGCAATCAGTGAGATCACGAATGAGAATGGAGAACTGTTTGCAGACTTATGTGCATTCAACGATTTGCTGACTGGAGTCAGGCACTGTGTTCAAGCACAAGGATATTCACAAGGCAGCGACATGGATTTGATTTCACCAGACACCAGGACACACTAAACATCAGATCGACTTCATCTCAATGTGAAGAAAGTGGAGATGGAGACGCAGCCTACTGGACACAAGACCAAGAAGGGGGAGAAGATGTAGGTTCACACCGCTCACTATCTAGTGCAAGGAACCTAACTTCAAAATCAAGTTGAATGCCTTCACAAAACCTGGTGATGATAGAACACAGTTCAAGTTCAACATCCACCCAGAAACTGAACTGAAGGACGAAACTACAACGTACATCTTCATATCGTCAGCCATCAGGGCAAAATGGGAGATATCAAGCAACATCGTTGAAGAAACCTGCATGGAAGAACACTGGGACTCTTTGAAAGAGACGCGGAAGGAAACCTGCATAGTCGTGTTAGGAAGGAAGAAGAAAGAAGACAAGGAATGGATCTCAACGGATCTACACATGGAAGCTCATAGAGGAAGGAGAGGAAGATGGTGATGGTGAAGCAGAAGATGAACCAGTGCAGTGCAAGGATGCTCAACGTCATGAGGAACTGAGTACAATGTATAAAACACCACACAGGACAAAGAAGTGAAGAAGAGTGCACGCAAAGACAAAAGACACTTCTACGACACATTGGCAAGTGAAGCAGAACAGGCTGCAGGTAGGAGGGATAGAGACCTGACAACATTATATCAAATAACCAGGTTACTAACTGGGAGGGAAGAGATCAACACAGATGAAACCAATGGAAGATGGTGAAGGAAACCTAGTGAGCAAAGAGGAGAAACAAAGGAAACAAAACGATGGACAGACCACTTTAAAAATTATTGAACCGACCACTACCGCCACCTGCAACTCGTCCAGAAATACCACCAGCAGCCCAGCCATAAAACTATCAGTGAACACAAGCCCTTCGGCAAAAGCCGAAGTCCTCAGCGCCATAAAGTTGCTAAAAGCCGGAAAAGCAGAAGGATCAGATGGAATCCAGCCAGAAGCACTGAAAACAGACGCAGATACAACACCGGACATGCTCACACTACACCACTATTGCAGAAGGTCTGGAAGGAAGGAAAGGTACCTGCCCATTCATTGGAAGAAGGGCTACCTTCTCAAACTCCCGAAGAAAAACGACCTAAGTATTTGCAAGAACTTGCGAAGAATCATGCTCCACTCCTGTCCACCCAATGCAAGCAAAATATTAGGCCGCATCATCCTGGAGACAAAAAAAATGCTATGCATTCAAAATTACGGTCGGAACATGCTGGCTTCAGGAAGAACAAATCATGTGCACACCAAATTGAAACACTACACATCATCATAGAACAGAGCACAGAATGACAGTCAACTGGATTTCTATCTCAACTTCATCGACTTTGAGAAGGCCTTTGACAACGTCGACCGAGAGGTAATTTGGAAGCTGCTTCAATACTACGGAATACAACAAACCTTTATCAATCTCATTCAACAACCATATGAAGACGCCACATACCAAGTGATTCACAATGGGAAACACAGTGACACCTTTGAAGTGAAGACAGGAGTAAGACAAGGCTATCCACTATCATCGATGATATTCCTGATTGTGTTGTGGTCGACTGGATTGTGCAGTAAACAGTGGGGAGCGAGAAGAGGGGGATACGCTAGCTGGACCGATGGAAAGACCCTAGAAGAAGACTCGGATTTCCCCGATGATGATTTATGTCTAATGTCTTGTCACACAAACTTGAAAATCTACAGGAAAAGACAAACAAATTAACAGAAGAGGCAGCGAAAACGGAACTTCCTGAGGGCTAACGTAGAGAAGACAGAGGTGATGAAGATACCCAATCAACAACAGCAAGCACCAATCACCATCAACGGAAAATATCTAAAGGAAGTAGTTTCTTTCACCTACCTGTCTAGGCAGCATCGTTTCAATTACAGACCGTGACGGCACAGATGAGGATGTCAAAGCCAGGATCGGAAAGACAGCCTTCCAAAGACAGGCCTTCCTTAATTAACCTGAAATCAGTGTGGAGATCTACTGCACTGCACTCAGCATAAAGCGTGAACAAGATCCAGATACTCAACACTAATGTCAATCAAGTCAGTCAGTGCTTCAATGTGACGGTTGAGAGACTAGGCGCGTTACGAAAAGCATTTCGAACAAATTGCAGACATTCATTAACAGCTGCCACCTTCACTCACTCGATACTGAAGATCAGATCAGATCTGATCAGATCTGATGGCCAGAATAATAGGAATAAGCAACAAGGAACTCAATCTGGTCTGGCAACGAACCAATCGACAACCCATCAACCAAAAAATATGCAGGAGAAAGTGGAGATGGATTGGATTGAGCATACACTGAGAAGACCGATTGGGGACATCATGCGCCAGGCCAGGCGAGGCCGTCGAGTGGAACCCGGATGGGAAACGACGAGTTCAGTGTTCGAGGTGAGAGTGGCATGGAGGAGATTGTGTGAGGAGGAAATGAAAGCTTCTAGGCAGTTGTAGAGCCAGGTTGAAGAGACTGCAGAGAATAGAGTGGAATGGAGACGTACTACTGAAGCCCTATGTCCCACTAGGAGCAACCCAAGGAAAAAATAATAATAAAAATAAATCAATACACTGTTGTAGGAAACGGCAAAACTGAGACGCAGAAATGAATGTTTATTAGTAACATCTTGTGCAGTAGTCATCAAATATTGTGCACTTTCCACTAAGACATTTGTACAGTGTGTTTCATTTACTCTTCTGCTTCTACCTCATCTTCCTCTTAATACGCCCACACTGTCTCTTGCATTTCTCTGAGCAGAATCTTTACCCATTTGCTGGTAATTCCCTATGATTTCTGCCACCCTCTCAACATATACTACTTATATCCATTCTGATCAGCAACGCCCACTACACTACTGCACAAGAGTTAACAACACTACTTGAGCATCCAAACCATATTAGATGAAGTGGAATTGAAAGTTGTGATATACTAACTGGAAACTATTTGTCTAAGCAAATGAGTCACATTTCTAACTGAAATCAGGTGAGAAAGTTTTTTTAAACAACCAATAAGCTATTCTTCAACGCATATTAATGCAGTGCTCAAGATGATGAGTTTCTCGCTTGCTTGATGTTATCAGCAAGAGGTATCTACAAAATCCTTTGAAAATTCTAATCCACATTGTGAATATTGTTGCTTGTATTATCTCATCGTTGATTGGATAGAATCGATCAGTCTGTATCTATTGACATATAGGTTTCCTGCACAGATGCCTCGATATTGCCTATCATTTCAATTTTACAATAATGATGGATAGTGATTAGCAGAGGGATCAAGAATGCGTTTGAAGTGATCAGTCCCCGGGTTCGAGTTTTAGTGGCGACAACATCACTTACTGAGAGGCAGGCATATCTACCCAGAGAGTCCCAAATGGGATCAAACGTGCATCTTGACCTACACTACTAGCCATTATCCATCATTATCATATTAATTTTGAAAATTATACACTTTGCTTATCAACTTTTCAAGTATGAGAAACGAATTATTGTAAGCTAGTATATTTCAGACAACACTCAGCATGTGGCACAAGATCCGGATTTTCAACACCAATGTCAGTAAAGTCAGTGCTTCTGTATGGTTCAGAGACTTGGCGCGTTACGAAAGGCATTTCCAACAAACTACACACATTCATTAACAACTGACTACGCTGGCTCCTTACCGAAGACCACATGGTCAGAATAACAAGAATAAGCAACAAGAAACTCACCCTGACAACGAACCAACAAACAACCTATCATGCAACAAATATGCAGTTGAAGGAAGTGGAGATGGATTGGGCATACACTGAGAAGGCCGACTGGGGACATCACGCGTTAGGCACTCGTGTGGAACCCCAATGGGAAGCGATGAGTTGGGCATCCCAGCTGAGGGTGACATAGAGGAGATCGTGGGAGGAGGAAATGAGAGGTTCTGGGCAGTCGTGGAGCCAGGTTCAAAAGTTTGCAGAGAAGAGAGTGGAATAGAGACGTGCTACTGAAGCCCTATGTTCCATTAGGAACCCAAAGGACAAATAATAATAATAATATATCAGACAAACTAGTAACCTGTAGAGTTTTCAAAGTGCTTCACTATTCAAATATTGATACCAATAAGAAGTAACTGATACGGAAATAAACGTTTTAGTACTTTCAGTAAAAAAAAAAATGCTTAGTACATACCCTGTCCTATGGTATCATTTTTAGTTTCTATATGAACATCTTTATCACGTAGTAATTTATAGGATTCCTCGAGAATCTATAAAAAGTAGAATAGGTAAAACAATCAGAGCAAATAAGCCTCATATACACATATCCATGATATTCAATCCATCAAGGAAGAATACCAATAATAAGATGGAGTAAATCATAGGTATGACACATTTTGTGATTTGTAGAGAAGAGATAATGTTCAACTTAAAAATAGCTTTATTGCGTTTATTCATCATCAAATGGATATTTTTCTCCTTCTTTCAGGAAAGTGAGACAAAAAAAAGATGATATAACAATCAAATAAAACTATATACAACACCTAAATCACAGTTAATACCTCAGTTTAAGTAATATTTCTCTGACGCCATATATGAATACTTTCTTGAGAACAACCACAAAAGAATGACTATTCAAATGTAAAGACAGTAAAGTATTCCTAGCAAAACTGGCATCCCATTGTACCAGAAGAGTGAGTCAAAAAACGTTGGCTCTATAAATAGTAAAGATTTTAAAATGCTAATCGAATTCAACTACATGTAGACAAAGATCAATTCGATCCAGTATAGGAACGGGAAATTACAAGTATCAATCAACAATAACTGATACCCGTTGCACAAATGGTGGCTCCCAGTACTCCCAGTGGCATAATGGATAATGCTTTGGAGTTTGAAGCAATGGGTACTGGGTTTGAGTCTCAGCGGGAACAACAACATTCACTAGGATGAAGCTACATTCAACTGACGATTCCCAAATAGGACGAAATGAGCGTCCTGGATTCCACTATCAAAAAGAATACAGTGTATACAAAGAACTTCAAAAACGTTAGTCTTAGACAGACTAATTTGAACCTTGGATTTACATTGTTAGGTTGTTAACCCAACAATGTTATTTTAATTTCTTCGAAACGTCCCGTGAGAAGTAATAAACTACTGCGTGTGTGTGTGTGTGTGTGCGTGCGCGCAACCAAGACGTTTCAATAGCCAATAAAATTATAGCAAAATTTACTTTTCTTTTGATCACGACCAACTTTCTTTTTTGTTACCTTTCAAATCCTTTTCATATCTTTTTTTGAAAAACTCGACGCTACTGTCAATTTCTCGCGGTTCTGCTTCACAAGATAACAATTCAGCTTGGTATTCATTGTGAGCACTATATTTCAAATCAAATAGGTTACATTAGTTGAAGCTATAGCACTCTCAACTATGGATGCATACTACATTTGTGAGACACGTGTACAGACCTCAAACGTAGTTATTTTCTTGACATTAGCTGGTCAGAGAGATGAATAAGTATCAAATGACCAGAAGATTAGTTCCTGTTCTACAGAAGAAATCTCACTACTGAACTACTTGATCAACTAGTGCACTGAAGACTAAAACGATTTTGATACAGGTCGGTATTTTTTTCTTTGAAGTCTATTTACACATTCAGTGGTAGTAACTGGTGGGGAGCGACAGACATGTTCAACCGAAAATACACTAACTTCTTATAAAGGATTCAAAAGTACAGATAGGGTCATCGTCGTCGTAGTAGTAATAGTTTATTTCAATGCGGATATGGGGAGTCTAACAAGCTAGGAAGAAAAAATATCTAGATAGCCATTCCAAAATACCAGGCTAGAGGAGCTATCAATGAAGGTAGCCCACAGTAACTGTACTAAGATAACCATTAATTCCTGAACAGTGACTGGCGTCCACCTACTCTCACCTAACGATGGATACAGATAGGTTGTATCGTTACTATTGAAGACGACAATTGCGACAAGACACTATTCACCACCTCTATTAATCTGAAGAAATAGGAGTAGAGTCAGTAAATGACACTAAGAAAATATTGGAAAAGATTACAGCAGCCTCGTTTGAGTTGACACATATACACAGGAACTCGTTCGGTCAGGTTTCAAACACAATGAAAAATAGTAGCAACTTTGAAGTAGACGGATAAAGAGCCTATGCAATAATCATGAACAATTGTAGACAGCAAAGACCAAAGAAATGGAGAAGATAGCAGCGTTATGTATTAGATAGTTGTAAGACGTTATTTAAAAGACTGATGTGAAAAAGTCATCAGATCATAATTAAAAAAAAGATAGGTCGGTAAACAACATACAAGTGAGGTGAATGACTGGAAAGATAGACAGAGTAATTTAAAGGATAGTTCAGTTAGCCTTTGGCTACAGACTACCTTGCTTCTGTAAGACACTTGTATAGAGTCCACAACCCTAGCTGAAGTTCAGGAGGTTGTATGCAAGCCGGAAAGAGGGAGGGCAAATCGGTTTCATGGGCTAAACAGCATAGGTATTTGAAAGTAATAACTAACGATTGTTAGTTAGCTTGAGCAATATACTGAGATGTTGCAATCATATATGGTAGGTCTCAGTCATTTAATTGTCCCAATCTTTTGAGGTTTGTTGTTACTCGACTACCTAATAACCGATAAGGAACAACGAAGTCGAGAAAACCAAGCAAGTTTGTTATTAGTGTTCAACAGAAGCTGTATTGCTCAACTCGAAGGTTGAAGTGTCTCTTACTAATTATTTAACTGAGCTGCATGATGGTATGATGGTATGTCCTAACTGAAGTCCTTTGGGTAGTTGAAACAGATAATCAGCAACTCCAGGTCATATAATTCATAGTGTAAAAATAGACTTATCTTCACTGAAATTATAATATCACGTATCTTTACTGTTTTTACTCCCTATCGCTTGTCTTATGGCTACTCACAAAGGACTACATGATTATTTTCACCTTTACGTCTTTCCTCTTGTTCAATGAAACAATCTGAACCATGTAGTGGTTTATGTAGGGTAATGGTGTCGATAACATTTGTTTATTCAACTACAGGACCCAGCAGTATGGTTAAATTGCCAGCTTAGTTCTTCATCTTTCGTATCAACAAATCAAGGTAAACTTGACAAGAGGGAAGACCACCAGAGAATGAAAAGAATAAGTTGAGCAGTTGCAAAAAAAAGTTAACTTGATAAAGAAAAGAAAATCAAAGAGAGATGCTGACAAAAACTTAGATTATTATTTGACTATCTGAGATAGCCATGGTTTAGCTGGGTGATGATTGAGGGTGAAATGAAGATTTGAACCGCGGCTGAATTCGAATCAACGACCACTGGGTTTCCCGCCGGATGCTCTACCATCTGAGCTACGACGTTCGACTGCTGATCACAGTTTTCCTTCACTTCAATCACAAGGCGGAGTTTTGCCCGACTACTATGTGAATTCGTGACGTGTTACTATCGCTTGATCGTACTCATACTAGCTGCGTAGTCAGAACTTCAATCACCCAGTGTCAACACTAGTCTCTCAAACCACGGCTATCTCAGATGGTCAAAAATGATAATCGATATGATGCTCCCTCCTCTAATTCAGTTAGATTTGGATTTGGATGAAACGTCCTGACTAGGTAGTCGGTGTGAATACGATCAAGCGGCATTAATGCGTCACAAATTCATATGATGATCGGGCAAAACCCATGGTGACTGAAGTGAAATAAAAGTGTGGTCAGCAGTCGGACCTCGTGGTTAAGTTGGTAGAGCACCGGGCCGAATACACGGTGGTCGCTGGTTCGAGTCCGGCCACAGTCAGGATTTTCATTTTATCTTTATTCACCTCCCAGTATAAAAACTAAGATAAAGATATTGAGATGAGCATACCTGCGTTATTGCGACCAATTCCCTAACACTCCACCTCACTTACTATTGATTTCAGATATTTCACAGTTCATAATCAGAAAGCCTACGCATTCTCATACGCATCAAACTAATAATCGACGAATTAATAGGTTAGTGTTATCTTAACCTTCATCCTAACCAAATCATAATTCAGATAATACATGTTGAAATAATGGAGAATATTTGTAGCTCAGGTGAATAGTCTTGGTTGTATTGTGTTCTCTGAGCTGGGTTGTTTAATCTTGAAGCTTTCATCGTCCTTCTAGACGACATCATCAGCACTAACTTCAGTACGAAGTGACCTGTCAGTATCTCTCTGTGAGTGATTTAGTAACTTGCTCTGACGATGTAGTCTGTGATTGGTTGCTTCCTTCGATTGTTGTGTCATTGACTATGTAGACTTTCCTGTTGGCTGTTCCTCTGCTTGACCTCGGACCTTTCTGTCGTTTACCATTTTTCTTATTGGTTGATAGATTAAGTCTATGTCTATACATCTGTTGATTGCTGACTGATCTGAATGTCCAGGAAGACGATGTAAGCCTCACAATTAAACAACCCAGCTCAGAGAACACAATACAACCAAGATAACAGATGTTTCAAGCAGATCAACCGATGAAGGTGTAACTTTAACACTGGCAACACAACTACTCTCTGCAGATAAGATATCACTTATGCGATTAACCAGTCGTCTAAACTTATGAATCACTGATGAATAGCTGTTTTTCAATCATAGAAGCATACCTCAACAATCGTATATAAAGTCCAGTACTATTTTATGAACTATTTTCATTTTATACAAATAGATAGTACTAACCATCTATTTGTAACCTCGCCTGGTTAACTAGTTCACTAGTTACTAGCCCGTCCTAAGCCCGGGTAAAGAGGGAAGGTTGGGTATAGGGCTAGCAACCCTACCCCGGAAAACAAATCTAACCGCTAAAGAAACTTCAAAGCACAAACAAAATATAATAAATAATAACAAAATTATTCCTCAATGGAATCGGAGGGGCGAAATGACGCCAGTTGGTAAAAGCATTCGGGAAGCCAATTGGCCGATGTGTCTTATCTCTCCCGATGAAAGTGAAATTAAACATGGGGACATGGAATGTCCACACCATGTTTGAACCCAGCAAGGCAGCCCAAATTGCAAAGGAGATGAAGAGGTATCACATCGAAGTGCTTGGACTTTGCGAAAGCAGATGGAATGGGAGTGGACTCTCCAAACTGTCAACTGGAGAATCAATAATCTACTCCGATATTGTCACCCAGACGACACGACAACCACGAGCACACTGAGTTTCGGAGTGGCTATCACGATATCCCCAACAGCATCCAAGGCTCTCTCTCATGCAGTGGCAACCAATCTCCTCCAGGATTATGACGGCATGGTTCAACTCAAAAGGAAGGAAGGCCACAATCATACAATGCTATGCACCTACAAATAATGTAGAGCAAGAGAAAAAGGAAGAATTCTACAGACAACTCCAATCAACACTGGACAAGACCCCTCCCCAGTTGGCGATATCAAAATTCTAATGGGCGACATGAATGCCAAACTGGGAGCAGACAACACAAGGAGAGAACTAACCATGGGTCAAGAAGCACTCGGTGAGGTGGTGAACGAGAATGGAGAATTGTTTGCAGAATTCTGTGCATTCAACGATTTGGTGATTGGAGTCAGGCACTATGTTCAAGTAGAAGGATATCCACAAAGCGACATGGATTTCACCAAATGGCAACACTACACTAAAAATCAGATCGACTTTATCTCAATCTCAAGAAAGTGAAGACGCAGTCTACTTAACACAAGGTCAAGAAGAGGAGCAGATGTAGGCTCAGACAACGCACTATCTAGTGCAAGGAATCTACCTTCAAAATCAAGTTGAAAGCCTTCAAGGAAGCTGGTGATAGACCTGAGTTCAAGTACAACACTCGGAAACTGAAGGACGAAACTACAAAGAAAATCTTCACTTCAGCCATCAAGACAAAATGGGAGACAGCGAGCAACATCCCTGAAGAAACCTGTGTGGAAGATGACTGGAAGTCTTTGAAAGCTATGTGGAAAGAAACCTGCATAACCGTATTAGGAAGGAAGAAGAAAGAAGATAAGGAATGGATCTCGACGGATCTACACATGGAAGCTGACAGAGGAGAGGAGGATGGTGAGGCAGAAGATAAACCAGTGCAAGGATGCTCAACGTCATGAGGAACTGAGTACAATGTATAAAACACCACACAGGACAAAGAAGTGAGGAAGAGTGCACGCAAAGACAAAATACACTTCTACGACACATTGGCAAGTGAAGCAGAACAGGCTGCAAGTGAGAGAGACCTGATAACATTGTATCAAATAACCAGGTTGCTATCTGGGAGGGAAGAGATCAACGCAGATGAAACCAACAAAAGATGATGAAGGAAATATAAATACTAAAGAAGAGAAACAAAAGAAAAGATGGGCTGATCACATCAAGAAGCTCTTCAATCGACCACCACCTGCAACCCGTCCAGAAATGCCACCTGCAGCCGCTGAACTAAAAGTGAACATAAATCCTACAAAAAAGTGGGAAGTCCTAAGCGCCATGAAGCCATTGAAATGTGGGAAAGCAGCAGGACTAGATGGAATCCAGCCAGAAGCACTGAAAACAGACGCAGATACAACACCGGACATGCTCACACTACACCACTATTGCAGAAGGTCTGGAAGGAAGGAAAGGTACCTGCCCGTTCATTGGAAGAAGGGCTACCTTCTCAAACTCCCGAAGAAAAACGACCTAAGTATTTGCAAGAACCGGCGCCGAATCATGCTCCACTCCTGTCCACCCAATGCAAGCAAAATATTAAGTCGCATCATCCTAGGGAGACTAAAGGATGCGTTGGAATCAAAAACTACGACCGGAACAGGCTTGATTCAGGAAGTGCAAATCATGTGCACACCAAATTGAAACACTACACATCATCATAGAACAGAGCACAGAATGACAGTCAACTGGATTTCTATCTCAACTTCATCGACTTTGAGAAGGCCTTTGACAACGTCGACCGAGAGGTAATTTGGAAGCTGCTTCAATACTACGGAATACAACAAACCTTTATCAATCTCATTCAACAACCATATGAAGACGCCACATACCAAGTGATTCACAATGGGAAACACAGTGACACCTTTGAAGTGAAGACAGGAGTAAGACAAGGCTATCCACTATCATCGATGATATTCCTGATTGTGTTGTGGTCGACTGGATTGTGCAGTAAACAGTGGGGAGCGAGAAGAGGGGGATACGCTGGCTGGACCGGGGAAAAGAACCTAGAAGACTTGGATTTCGCCAATGATGACTTATGTCTAGTGTCGCACAAACTCGAAGATCTACAGGCGAAAACTAACAAGTTGACAGAAGAGGCGAGGCGATGCAGCGAAGAAGGGGCTTCAAGTGAAGGTAGGGAAGAGAGAGGTGATGAAGATACCCCACCACCACCACCAACAACAACAACAACAAACTCCAAGCACCATCAACGGGAGAAACTAAAGGGAAGTAGCCTCTTTCACCTATCTAGGAAGCACTGTTTAAACTACAGACAGCGGTGGCACAGACGAGGACGTCGAAGCAGCCAGGATCGGAAAAGCAAGACAGACGTTCATTAGCCTGAAATCAGTGTGGAGATCTTCCGCACTCAACTCAGGATAAAGCGTGAACAAGATCCGGATTTTCAACACCAATGTCAGTAAAGTCAGTGCTTCTGTATGGTTCAGAGACTTGGCGCGTTACGAAAGGCATTTCCAACAAACTACACACATTCATTAACAACTGACTACGCTGGCTCCTTACCGAAGACCACATGGTCAGAATAACAAGAATAAGCAACAAGAAACTCACCCTGACAACGAACCAACAAACAACCTATCATGCAACAAATATGCAGTTGAAGGAAGTGGAGATGGATTGGGCATACACTGAGAAGGCCGACTGGGGACATCACGCGTTAGGCACTCGTGTGGAACCCCAATGGGAAGCGATGAGTTGGGCATCCCAGCTGAGGGTGACATAGAGGAGATCGTGGGAGGAGGAAATGAGAGGTTCTGGGCAGTCGTGGAGCCAGGTTCAAAAGTTTGCAGAGAAGAGAGTGGAATAGAGACGTGCTACTGAAGCCCTATGTTCCACCAGGAACCCTAGGGATAAATAATAATAATAATAAACCATCTATTTGTATATTCAATTAAGATGGTTAGAGACACCGTTGAATTTGAACTTTCGACCCTATGAATGTAAGTCAAGTTAACAGCATACACGAAACCACTTCTTTTTCACTTAATAAGTAGTAACTACTTTACATAACCTATAAAAAAGCATAATTACATACACATCAAGCTACTATGCATTATCGTTATTATCTAACCAACTGAAAAAATGTACAAATATAGACAACTTACATTAATGATAGTATCAAAAAGTCTTACAGCAACAGCTTCCTGTTGAACTGTTGGTACTTCGTTGAGAATTCGAGCTAATTCACTTAAATGTAGCTCTCTTTTAGTACGAAAAGATGCTTGATTATCTATGTAAATTGTTAAGTAAAATAATCATTCTAGTGATATAAATGAGTGGTATGTCAGTAAAAACTATTACAACTAATTAGAGTAAAGGTAACTGAATAACACATGTTTTCAGATTGAAATTAATAAAGAAAGTGAATCCCTGAAACAACCAAATCCATGATATTGTACTAAGCAATGAGTTACATCTGGCTGTGAAGATCTCAACAGGTGGAATGAGATTCGAACTTGAGAAAAACACTAGTTAAAAATCAAGTAATCAACAAGTCCTTGTTAACTTAGAGGTAGACAATGTGCTAGTGGTGTTCACTAGCAAGATGAACAGAATCCTTTTTCCAGAACTATTTGATGAAATGTTGAAATTCTCTTTCTACTGATACACAAAGTTGACTTACTTATCAATTTTTCAATGTTCAATATTGTAAACAATTTCGAAGCCAAAGAGTTCACTTCATTTTTTTCAATCTTTGGTTAGAGTGCAATTTGAATGTACAGAAAAGATGACAATAATAAAACATTTATGATATTGTTTACCGCGATGATGAATAACATTATAGTGAATCCCGTAAGGTGGATAAATCTTTAAAGAAATCATAGATGACATTTGATAAATATGATGACAAAGATGTGAGTTGTCTATCGAATTCATCAAGTACACTTATATTCCGTAGTATAGGAACATGTTTTTTTCCAAGCAGCCAATAAACGGTTCCAGAATAGTAAGTAGTATAATTATTATTATTTATCCCTAGGGTTCCTAGTGGGACATAGGGCTTCAGTAGCACGTCTCCAATGCCCTCTGTTCTCTGAAATCTTTTGAACATGGCTCCACGACAGCCCACAAGCTCTCATTCCCTCCTCCCACGATCTCCTCTATGTCACCCTCAGCTGGTGGTGATGGTGGGGTATCTTCATCACCTCTCTCTTCCCTACCTTCACTTGAAGCCCCCTCTTCGCTGCATCGCCTCGCCTCTTCTGTCAACTTGTTAGTTTTCGCCTGTAGATCTTCGAGTTTGTGCGACACTAGACATAAGTCATCATTGGCGAAATCCAAGTCTTCTAGGTTCTTTTCCCCGGTCCAGCCAGCGTATCCCCCTCTTCTCGCTCCCCACTGTTTACTGCACAATCCAGTCGACCACAACACAATCAGGAATATCATCGATGATAGTGGATAGCCTTGTCTTACTCCTGTCTTCACTTCAAAGGTGTCACTGTGTTTCCCATTGTGAATCACTTGGTATGTGGCGTCTTCATATGGTTGTTGAATGAGATTGATAAAGGTTTGTTGTATTCCGTAGTATTGAAGCAGCTTCCAAATTACCTCTCGGTCGACGTTGTCAAAGGCCTTCTCAAAGTCGATGAAGTTGAGATAGAAATCCAGTTGACTGTCATTCTGTGCTCTGTTCTATGATGATGTGTAGTGTTTCAATTTGGTGTGCACATGATTTGCACTTCCTGAATCAAGCCTGTTCCGGTCGTAGTTTTTGATTCCAACGCATCCTTTAGTCTCCCTAGGATGATGCGACTTAATATTTTGCTTGCATTGGGTGGACAGGAGTGGAGCATGATTCCGCGCCAGATCTTGCAAATACTTAGGTCGTTTTTCTTCGGGAGTTTGAGAAGGTAGCCCTTCTTCCAATGAACGGGCAGGTACCTTTCCTTCCTTCCAGACCTTCTGCAATAGTGGTGTAGTGTGAGCATGTCCGCAGTTGTTCCTGTGTCTTAAGTAGTATAATAATCTCTGATAAATATTTTTGGCTAAACCTCGAGAAAGATCATTCAACAGGTATCTTCTCCTCAGAGACGTATAACCTCATATCCATGGAGTATAATGAGGAGTATTTTACCAATTAACATTTGAGTTGAAATAAAACACTCAATACATTCTAACTTCTGTCAGTTTAGGATATGATGTAGCTATCATTCACATCACTTTTCTTTGAACCCTATAGATTAAATGTTCCCAGTAGAAATTCAAAAAATTCATCTTACAGAAAGTCAACAATGAATATGCCACCAAGGTTAGAAGATTTATAAACAAATCAATGTATGTACTAACTTATAATAATGAATATTATGAACTTGAAGAAATTTTAGCCACATATATACATTACAGACTGTGAAACAATTCTTTTCAAAGGATACAATGTTCATTATTGAAAGCTCCTGACACAAACCTGTGTAACTGTACCACCAAGATGATTAAAGTATTAAAGCAATGAAGATTCATAGTACCTACAAGGTAAAAATAAAAAGGAGAAAAACAAAGTGATGTATTAAAAATTAGTGAAATATCTATATGAATATCATATTTATGAATAAGAACAAGACATATATCAGTGAAGAAATGTTTCTTTCAAAACGACTTCATTATCAAGCTGTATTGTAGTCATACTGATAACCAGTAAAGTGACAGATAAATACACTAAAATGTTGCTCAGTCAATATATACATGATACAATCGGTGTTGGTTGTGGGGTTTGTTCAAGTGGAAGAAATCGAGAATGTGTCACTGAATAAGGAACGAATTGATATTAACTAGTGAAATATGGGTCAATTGCCGTTAATGAAGTGGAAAATGGTGATCCTTGTAATTTCCTGTTGCTGTATACGACCGAATTTCTCGGCTACTGTTGGCAGATCGGCTCTTATACGTATGCCTCGATACTGCTGAATATTCAAGATGTTATATTGATCTTGGTGACTAGCAGAGCAATTCGGGCCTGTATAACAAGGGGAAATTACAAGTATCATAAAGAAGTTGGTTTTTCTTCGCTCACCTTTGGTAAACCAAACCGGGTAGTGCTCTACAACGCCTTTTCGGAAAGCTCGCTTACAATATCTAATACAGTCAGCTCCACAAGAGCATATCAATTTGTAGATACACACAGATGTCGATATCAATGGTAACCTTTGAGTCACGCATTGTCAAGTCAAACGACGACTTAAGAATATCAAATTCAGTCTAACAGAAGTAAAACGTACTATTGATGTACTTCAACAGACGGCTCTTCAACACTTCAGCTGTGGCAACCTCTTTGAATTACAAATTTTCTTTAAAGCTGTAATAGAGTTAGGAGTAATTGCTCTCTTGAAGTTTTTATCAATTAATCTTCTTGGGTGTTCATTATTCAATAGTGTTGTTCTAAGAGTTCCGATTGCAACATCCACTGATGAATTATGCCCACTTATTGATAATTAAGAGCAAGATTTCTATCAGACACAAAGTATTACTTTTCAACGACTTCATTATCAAACTGTAATATAGTCGGTAAAATGACAGATAAATACACTAAAATGTTGCCCAGTCAATACATACATCATACAATTGGTGTTGGTGGTAGGATTGGTTCAAGTGGAAGAAATCGAGAATGCGTCACTGAATAAGGAACGAATTGATATTAACTAGTGAAATATGGGTCAATTACTGTGAATGAAGTGAAAAATGGTGATAATGATGATAATAAAAGAGAAATATACCAAAGTAAAGTGAAATGAAACTGACAAAATAACTAAAATGAATTATAAAAGTTAAGGTAGAGAAAATGGTTTGATAAAACGTTTTTGAATGCAAAGTTTCGATTTTTATCCATGTATAGCTAATACTTCAGCAATGTATAAGTGGTGGGAATGTAGACTTTTGGAGTAGTTCAATTTAACTTGAATATAACTCTACAGCTTGATAATAAAGTCGTTGAAAAGAAATATTTCTTGCCTAGTACATATCTTGTTCTTAATCATGAATAAATAGGTATACTTCGTCAATATCATATTTCATGGTAGAAATTCGCTAGATGGATGGGAGTAAAAAGAAGTAAGGTCCATTTGGGTAGATATTTATCAATAAGGCATGTTTCTAACTCTGAAAAAAAGCCATATGCCTCCTGGATAATATGAACCTGCATTAACCGAACTCAGGATAACAGAATCCTATCAGCACTGAAAACCATAAGTAAACCAAGGATACATACCATGATGATAAGCATACAGATTGTTGTATACACAAATATCAGTGTTATAGCTCAATTACAGATTCTCACAAGCATAAAATACTTCAAAGACATTGATTTAAAAAACACATTCTACTACAGATAATCATAACAAAGGTAGCTACATAACTACTACATAACTTGATGAAAAATGACGAAAAACGTTTTTACAAAGTGGGAAAGCAAACAGCAATGACCGTTGACCACATGAAATTCTGCAATGAGGAGTCTGTGTTTCTATCAGATGTTAGTAATTTATGCTAATTATCTCGAACATCGACTATCAGATGGTAAACAAAAGCTTAAATAAACAGAGTCAAGCTAGAATCAGATAGACGAAAGTCTTAGTCGGTTGACAGAATAACCATTGTAATTTTACATCAAAGCACAAAAGTTCAGATTATCACACTTTAGGACAGTAAATAAATATGAAGTGAAAAGAAACAAAACGACTATAAAGTAAACAATAAGAAGGGCATGAGAGAACATAGAAATCATGAAAGCCAATAGAATGTTCAGAATTGGAATGGTAAGAGATGAAGAACAGATAGGCAAAATCAACGTAGAACCTTGAACACAGGGGCGTCACCTCAAATTGCCACACTTCACAGAAGTATACAAAGAACAAGTGGATAGAAAAAGAGTAACATCAAAGACGACAAAGGAATGTGAGAGAATAAACAATTTGACGGTAAAGGTTAGTGCAAATATTCAAGTTTTAGAAGACTTTAAAGAGTGAATACATCAGGGCTATTGTGACCGATTTTCAGCCATGTCACCAAGATTCCTCAACCACTGACTCCTATCGTCTTGTGGACCTCAACCAGGTAATCTACCCACACGAATTACACAAACAGTCACGGAATTCATCGACTAGTGCCACGTCTTAGTCTGGCCACCCTGAACCTCCTTCCAACTTAACTCTACTTCCCCTAGCATTGCAGGTCAAGGTAGGAGACGGATCAGCATTCGCAACATATGTCTAAACCAATTCATTTGATGATTCAAAACTTCATCGACTGACTTGCCTTTTTTACCCAATACCCTTCGCCTAACCTCAACATTACTCACACGGTGACTCCACCGAACGCCAGCTACGCTACGGAGACATATGATAGAAAGCGTGTAACCGCTTCATGTCTTCTACTTTCAACAGCCATGTCTCAAAGCCGTAATACAAAAGAGGACGGACTTCAAAGCAAAATAATAGTCTTTTAATAGGTAGTAGGATATCTCGTTGACTCCACAGATGGTGCCAGCTGGCAAATGCCAGACAGGCCTTATGTATCCGGGCTGAGATTTCGTCGGCATCCAGCACGTTCGAGCCGATGAATCTAGAGAAGATGAAATGGTTGAAGCATTCCAACACTCAAATCTCTATCATTAAACTAGGAGTAGCTGGAGATTAGTCCTGGAGCCTCATCTTACATATGAGAGGTGCGAAACGCATTTCAAACACCCAGATTTCTACTCAGCGCTTTCAAAAGACCCTGAGTTTTGCTAGCATCTTCACCTGATTCAAAGAGAGTTGGAGGTGTGGGGGTTGGGTGTCGGGTGACTGAAGCATTGATGTGGGTCAGCTGAACCGGATTTCAAAGTGTTTCGCCCAAAGTTCTAGCCATCTACACCCAAAGGTCATCAGTATTCCATCCTTTACGGTGAACACTTCACTAGCCATTGCTTTCGTCCTGCCTGCATCCTTAATAAGCCTGAATAATTGTCGGATAATACTTAACGGTGATTCCTTTCTCATCCTTCTTGCTTTCGCTATCCATCGCTGCTCACGACGATTGCGAAGACTCCGTCAACTTACATAAGTTTCTTACGTTTGCCATTGTGGCCAGAGCCAACTAGAATCAGCCTTCTTACATCAATCAGTTTAGATGATGTTGCAGAAATCCAATGATGTTTGACAACCATTGGATGTAGATGACCAACTTCCTTTACCACTACCTCTACAGAAGACTTAATATCACGCCAGGTTTCCTCAGAATGAGTATCGCTATCGAGTTCAGATAAATACTTAGCTATCTCTTCTCTTAATGGGCACTTGGCGTCTTAACTTACCAATCGAACACAAATGGGCTTAAATAAGTGATGGCCAGAAACAAGTGATTTTTAGAACAAAATTGCAACAGACGACCACCGTTGTCAGTTCGTTGGGACGTGATACCGTAGATACCCCCAAAATGCCTCTCTGATTAGCTCGGCTTCCTTACCTGAGAGCTAAAGTCACCTACCTACATCTTAACGCTTTACTTTCTGAAAAAAACTGACAGCTCCTCATAGAATTCATTTTTTGCATCATCCGAGCTAGAGTCGGTGGGTTGCTGCGTGGTCGGAGATAACGTATGGACATCGTCTAGTCTCGCGATCCTTCCTAGTCTTTACAGATATATTCAGTCGAACAGCACATAGATGGCTGTTGATTAGCATCCAGTCAAGGAGTGGACTTTCTGTTGTACAACTATGGAAAGAGTGGGCATCCTTGATGAACACCATTAGGTGTACACAGCCCACCTGTTAATTCACCGTAGTTGCTAATACATTCACAGGAGTTCGAGCAAAGAGTCTTTAACAAAGTGATGCACTTATTCGGTATCCTCTTCAATGAGAGACACCGCCATAAGACCTCTTGCTCGATGAAGTAGAATGCCACCACTAGGTAAGACTGAAAGCATTTGCCGTGATAGCGTTAACACCCTACGCTATGGTGAGGGTTTAAAGATGACTTCATACTACTGATTGTACGAGCTGTGATATTAGCATGATGTTTCCGACGAATGAACAGCATTCCGTTATGATCCTACGTATTCATACAGGAAAGAGGTTAAGAAAAGGTCAGCCATAAAATTAGCACACTTCTTTTGGTCCATGATCTCTTAGAGTCAGTGAGGTGGGAATTCCTAGCACGGAAGTAACTCCTCAAAAATAAGTGTATGGCTGACCTCCAACAAATGTCCCATTGGCTCTTTGGCTACGCACTCAAGTTGACAAAACCCCACTTATGTTTTTAAACCACTGGTAGAATTAAACCTCCACTATGAGAAGCTGGGAAGAGTCAACCATATCTTTATTTCTCTCAGCAATACATTTCTTGATAATCATCGTCACCCGTCTGCAAGGTTGTCTTAAAATCTTTTTTTACATTTATCTGTTAATAAGTATACATCGTTTTCAACGTCTTTCATCTATGCAGCTCACAACAACCATTCGAGTCCACAAAATACCTGTCAGGTTTTAAGT